GATCTCAGCCTTTGCACTCCCAGACACCTACACACACACACACACACACACACACACTGAGGGAAGTCAATGCAATATGGAATATAATATATTTATTTATCAGAATAAGAACTTACACACAAAGGCTGGGGAGTCAGACGCGTGGCAGGCTTCCATTAGAAGAGAGGAGAAGAAGAGGGATTCATTTCTCTTTTACTTCCTTTTATCTTTACCTGTGCTAAATTTCCTTATCCCTACCCTTAGGGTGGATAGCTTTATGGGGCTCAACCCTACAATTCCCCTTTTAGCCTAAATAGAAGATTTAAATTTGATACAAACTCAAACATATACAACATATATACATAGAGGGTGATAAGTAAGTTATAGTCTATTTATATCCTAAGCTAACCCCCCCACACACTTACAAATAAAAATAAGTTCACTTCAGCCTGGCAGATAATGGCACTTACCATCAAATCTGACAACCTACATTTGATCCCCAGAACCCATGTGGTAGAAAAAGATAATAGACTCTTCAAATTGTCCTCTGACCTCCATACATATACTATGTTATAGGAGTATCCCCACATACTAATAAAATTCATATATAAATAAATGCTTATGCCTTAAAAAGTCCATCTCAAGACAGGATATAGCTCAGTGGTAGAGTGCATGTCTAGTATGTATGAAGTCCTAGGCTTGCTCCTGAGCATGACACATTAAAAAGAAAAAAGAAAAAGCCCCTATAACTAAATGAAGATTGACATCTCTATGGTACCATGGCCCATTTATTTAATTCCAATTTTGAAGATTTATGAATTTATACCATTAGTCACATAACCACTTAATATGGGTTAAATGTGATCATGATTTTTGAGATTTTTACATTTAGTGCAAGTAGGATCTACCCTCCTTCACTTCTTACTACTGATTTACAAATATTGTTCTTCTCTTTGCTACTTTTATAAATTCTTTTATTGCTTGTGATATCCCCCCTTGACTGAGTTCTCAAAATATGAAACTACAGTCTTTTAACAGGGTCAGTTTGGCTTCTTGCTTCAATACGCATGCTTCTAGTGACTATCTACTCCAGCTGCAGCACAATGTAACAAAGAAGGAAGCCTCAAAATTTTTCCTATTTGTCTTAGTTAGGGTTTCTATTGCTATGAAGAGACACTGTAACCACAAGAACTCTTATAAAAAATATTTAATTGGGGCTGGCTTACAGTTTCAGAGATTTAGTCTATCATTTTAACAGCAGCATGAAGGCAGACATAGTAGTGGAGATGGAGCTAAAAGTAGAGAAAGAGCTACATCTTGTTCCAGCAGGCCACAGGAAGTGGTCTGAGACACTGGGAAAGACTTGAGCATAAATGACACCTCAAAGCCCACCCCCACAGTGACACACTTCCTCCAACAAGGCCACATCTCCTAATAGTGCCACTCCCTATGGGCACCACTTTATTTCACAATAAATAAATATAAATGACTATCTTTATTTTTTAGGTTTTTAATTTGCATTTATTGTCTTTTCTGTGTGCATATGTGTTTACAGATGGTGTGAGGAGGTGTGCCATATTGTCTATGACAAGATCAGAGGACAGCTTGTGGATTTCAGCTCTCTTCTTCCAGCATGTGAGTTCCAGGGATCAAGCACATACCACCAGGCTTGGCAACAAGAGCCTTTCCCCTCTGAGTCATCTAGCCCCTACCTTCGCACTGAGTGTTTTATTTTTAAATATAAATGAGTCTTAAAGTAATGTTAAGGACTTTTCTACATCTATAAAAATGATTGTTTGAACTTCTCTTTGTGTCTGCTTACATGATGAATTATGTTAGATTTATAATATTGAATTCCCTGAACATTTGGACTAAATTCCACTTGGTCATGATGTGCTATGTAATTAAATATGTTATTTGATTCTCTCTATTCTATTTCATGAATGATTGTATCCATATTTTAATTGTTAAGTTGTGTGTGTGTGTGTGTTCAAGTACACACAAATCCAGTACATATATGGAGATAATTTGTGGAGACATTGTCTCCTTCCACTGTGGGGTTTCTAGGTGTTTTTAAGTTACTGTTCTATTGCTGTGATGAGACACAATGACCAGGGCAACTCTTATGAAAGGAAGTATTTGATTGGGGGCTTCTCCGGCACCATGTCTGCCGGAATGCTGCCATGCTTCTCACCAAGACAATAATAAACTAAACCTCTGAAACTATACTCCAGCCCCAATTAAAGGTCTTCCTTTATGAGAATTGCTGTGGTCATGGTGTCTCCTCTCAGTAATAGAAACCCCAACTAAGACACCCTGTAAAATAAAAATTAAAAATCAGATTGCATACCACGGCACAGAATATACATTTCCATTCCCAAAGAGAGCATAGTGAAGAAATACTGGATCAAAGCAAGACTGAAAACCAGCAGGGCAAGCTCCACATTCTGTGTCTTCATGTCCAATGTCAAAGCACCCTTCAGATCTCTAGCTCCTTCCAGATTTGTTTACTGTAACACACTTCTCTCCCTTGGGCTGATGCCACACCTGGTCTGCAACTTTCCTCGCCAGGTATCCCACGACTCTGGCATCTCCAACATCTTGGGGTCTACAACACAATCCAGCCTTAATCATCAGAGCTTCACACAATGGCTTCTCCGGAACCCCACAAAGGGACACCCCTGACACATGCCTGGCCTCCATAGCTTTCCTTAACTGAGGAGGTGGATTCCACATTCCTTTTCTTGTACCCTTGACTCTAAATCAAGAACCATGTGGTGAAGCTCCCAAGTTCTGCTGCTTGCTGGGACTAGAAATTGGCCCCTCATTCAATTACATGTGCATCTGTCGCACCTGCTGTGCAGCCTGCATCCGAGAATGTAGCGAGGTGGTCGGGATAGATGACACAGAGACCGGTTGGTTGCTTTAAGAAAACTTTATGCTTCCCAAGTCAGCTTAGGAGGAGACCCCAAGTCCGCTTAGGAGAGAGGTCTCTCAGGAGAAGTCTCTCCAAGAAAAAACGCTTCCCTTTTTAAGGACTTCTGCCATCCATCTACATACAATTATTTCCAGACTTCTCACCCTCCTGGCTGGTGGTTTAATCTCCGGCCCCAGAATCGGGGAGACACCACAGGGGGGACAGGAAGAAGCATCTAGCCATAGGGGGTGTCAAAGTCATGGTGTTTCAGTGAGCGAGCCCTTATCTGAGCCCTATCAAGAGCTTTATAGCACTGAATTGTTTTCAGTAAACATTATCTCACAGCTGCTTGATCCCAGGCCGAAGGGGAAGTGGGTCTCTGTTCAAGGTCTGGTGTCCCCACATGCATCAGCTTTCTGTTTTCCATGGTTTCCCTCACTGTTTAAACTTTTCTTAATTCCTTTTCACAAACTGAAAACTTAGCTAGGTGAGGTCTTATGCCTGAAGTCACCACTCCGTTTATTCCGTTTAGCAACAGGCTTTTTTAAAAAAAGTTTATCTCCTAAGCACTAGACTTGGCTCTAACATTACATCTCCTGGGGCTCCATTTCTCCTCAAACTGTACATTTTGTATTTTTCTTTGTTCAGCTTGTTCCTTTTCATTATAGATCTGCATAAGAGTGACCACAAATAACCCCAGTACTAGGCTATCTTTAAATCTCCTCTATCAACACCATTAATTCAAAGTCTTCAATTTGGCTTCAGGCAGGTTTATAGGACAAGGGCCAAGAACAGAACTACATTCTTTGCCAAAGTCCCACAAGAATGGTCTCTGGGCTATATTCTAATATTCTTCCCCTCTGAAATTTCTTGTGCTGGGCCCCCACAGTTCAAATCACCCTCAGCACTGTCTTCCATGCTCCAACTAGGATGGCTCATTAAGCCCCACTTAAGGTGTTCAACCACTTTTCTAGTCCAAAGTTCCAAAGTCTTCCATATTCCTCCAGCAAATAGCATAATCAGGCTTGCCACAGCAAAACCTTACTCCCCGGTACCAACTTCTATTATGGTCATTGTTTTATTTGCCTATGTGGCCATTCTTATTCAAACCACCATACTAGGATTAAACTTGTTTTAGGGTTTCTATTGCTGAGAAGAGACACCATGACTGTGGCTACTCTTTTTTGTTGCTGTTGTTGTTGTATACTTATTACATATACAAAGTTCTGCCTGTATGTGTGCCTGAAGCCTAGAAGAGGGCACCAGATCTCACTACAGATGGTTGTGGCCACCATGTAGTTGCTGGGAATTGAACTTAGGACCTCTGAAAGAGCAGCCAGTGCTCTTAACCTCTGAGTCATCTCTCCAGGACGATGGCTACTCTTATAAAGGAAAATATTTAATTGGGACTGGTTTACTATCCAGACATTTAGTCCATTATCATCGTGGTGGGAAGCACGTAGGCATGTAGGCAGATATTATGCTAGAGAGGGAGCTGGAGAATTCTACATCTGGATCAGCAAGCAGCAGGAAGAGAGAATGACACTGAGCCTGGTCTGAGCATCTGAAACCTCAACGTCCACGCCCAGTGATACACTTCCTCCAACAATGCCACACCTCCTCCAACAAGACCACAACTTATAATAGTACCACTCTCTATTGAACCTATGGGGGCCGTTTTTATTCAAACCACCACAGAACTCAAGTCACCTTGCTTGATCACTGGCCATTATCTGTATTTTTAACTGAACTTAGTCTATAGTTTTCTTATTTGGAGAACTCTGATATGGGTTTGGAAATCAATTATAAAACAAATAGCCTAAATCTTTCTTCAATGCTCCACAACAGTATTATAAGCCTTGCAATAATTCGATCTTTAAAATTCTGATACACTGTTCAGTGAAACTATCTGGACTCGGTGCTTCTCTAGGGGAAGATTTTTCACTACTCCCTGAAAAGCCATGCACCTGTCTCAGAACCTTGCTAGGTCCCGCCCCTTATTAAGGCCCGCCCCTGTGCCCTCCGCTGACCACGCCCCTTTGCGTAGCCCCCCCCCCACCGCTTGCTGTCCGTCCAACCAATCGTGGGACACATCCGTGGGGGCCGGACTTCCTGCTCTATCGGCGCCCTGGCAGTCTAGGCTCCGCCCCCGCCAGGAGCTGGGCCAGAAGATGGCGGCGGCCGCAGAGCTGAAGCTGCTGGAGAAGTCTCTGGGACTGAGACCGGGGAATAAGTACAGCGCTCAGGGCGAGCGACAGGTGAGGCGGGGCTGCGGGAGCGCGGCGATTTGGCCCGGAGCCTACCGAGACTCGAGAGAGGGGACCCGGCGGGGTCTCGAGAGTGGACGCTGCGCCCCACGTGCGTGCGGGACGGGCCGCATGCCTGGGTCTGGACCTCCAGGCAAATGTCATCATCCCCTCTGAGAGCAGAAAGCCAGCCCGGGGAGGCGTGGGCAGAGCGGCGGCCTGAGATCCCTCTAGGCGGACTTTAGCCGTGAGTGCTCCTTTTGCTCAGGGACCCCCGTAGGAGCAGTCACGGGGTGGGGCGGGTATGCGGCCGGGGACTCGCCCTGCAGGCGGCTGGCTGGCTCCAAAGCCAGGAGAACAGTACAGAGTGATCCCCGGTAGCCGCTTGGTGGAGAGAACGAGGAATGGGGCCCTGCTCATTCTGGAGACACATTGGCTTGGATGTGCAGTGTGCAGAGAAGTAAGGAAGTTACCCGGTGTGGCACCGTGGGGCGCCTGGCGAGATGAAAGGATTCCCATTTCACAGGGTGTTGAAAATGAGTTGTTTGTAACGTGTTATTTGCCTTGGGAAGACTGTATTAGAGGGGGAATGGCCGTGGGAAACCCACTTTGAATGTGTATTGGGGGGAGTGGTTCCAGATAGCCTGTCCTTGTTTGGGCCCTAATGCTTTTTTTCCCATTAGGTACAGGTTAAATTTTTGTTCAAAACGTAGCAGTGTTGTGGGATTTGCACTAACTTAAAGTGACACCTGGAAAGGTTGAGTGACTTGCCTGTGATAGACTGCAAAGGCCAGCCTTCCCAGAGGTGATGAGGTTCTCTGTCCTCATCCCTTTTCCTTTGCGTCAGCCACGTTTGGCTTTGGAAAACTTGTCAAGACAGGAGTATTACTTTCGAGGATTATTTAGTATGAGGGACAGTCACCAGCAGTTACGACCCCAACAGAACAAGCGCGGGGGAGGAGCACAGTGAGGAATAGCACAGAGGAAGTGGGGAGTTTTGGTGTTTGTTTGGGTTTCGAGGCAGGGTTTCTCTGTGCAGCCCAGACTGTCCTGGAACTCACTCTGTAGGCCAAACTGGCCTTGAACGCATAGAGATCCACCTGTCTCTGACTCTGGAAATGCTGGGATTAAAGGTGTGCGCCACCACCTCCAGCCCTAGTTAATACTTTTCACCAGGTGTGGTCTTTAATTCTCCAGAGAAGCCATAGTTATCTTCTGGTTTCCTAGGCATGCGTGTGACCCGTATACATGTAGTAACAGATTTAAGTTTAACGGAAAACCAAACAAGTAGTTCTTGAATTTATAGCCTATAGAGGGAGAAAGAAGTCTGTTTCCTTTGTCTTATAAGGGTTCTAAAATTGGTTGTAGGTGATGTCTATGAGTGTTCCCAGAACATGAATCATTGATTCATGGGAGGGCTACATTTCCCACAGTATGGTCCTTACAGTTTTGAGTAAGTGGTTACATGAAGAGGTGATAAACATAACTTCAGAAGGAAACATCTGATTGCTGGCACAAGTATCTCAGGCTGGCTACTCCCCCGTTGCATTTTTAGAGATGCTTCAAGAGAATTGCTACAACGTACAAGCCAGGAGTGCTGAGGCACTGGTAGGAATAGTCTCCTCAGACTTCTATAGGCTTTGCTTAAATAAGAAATAAACTTTTATGGGGCAGGGGATGTGACTCAGTGGATTCTATCCCCCAACACCACAAAAAATAAATATATAGACTTATTTTACTGCACCAGTAAGATTTTACATTTGGTAAAGCCACATAATCTTAATTTGTCTAAACAGGTATTATTTAGTATATGGGTAAGGGCAGTCTGTTTTTATTGTTTTTTTTGTTTGTTTGTTTGTTTTTGGTTGCAAAGTCTCCCTTTGTGGCCCAGGCTGGCCTGAAACTTGTAATCGTCTTGCCTGCCTCAGCTTCTCAAGTTGCTGAAATTACAGGCATCAGCCACTACGTGTAGCCAAGTGTGGGGAATCATGAGTGAAATTAATAAAGTATTGTGGTTTCTGTTTTCCATGTTGTATACTCCTGGTTCTGAATTTTGGTGGCATTTAACCAGTTTTTGTAGTGTTTTTCCAGTTGTATCATCCAGTGTGCCATTAAATTATCAATACTTTGACCGCTGTCGTCCTAACTTTCAGTTATACATAATTTAGTATTATAGAGTATTTCTAAAAATTGGGATGTTAGTGCTTAGCTCCAGATTATAATCATGATGGTCTTTGTTGTTGGTGGTTTTTTTCTGAAGAATTTTTTTCCTTTTAAGATTCCAGTTCTACAAACAAACAATGGTCCAAGTCTAATAGGATTGGCTACCATTGCGACCCATCTAGTCAAACAAGCCAATAAAGAACACTTGCTGGGGAGCACTGCAGAAGAAAAGGCCATCGTTCAGCAGTGGTTAGAGTACAGGGTCACCCAAGTGGATGGACACTCCCGCAAAGAAGACACCCATACCCTGTTGAAGGTATCTGACTGTGTCTAGTCTGCACGTCAGGAGCCAGGAAATGGAAGTCCTTCCCCTCCAGGCCTTCACTTGGTGGCCTTCTTCCCTTTCCCCTTTGCACTGAGTGAAATCAGTGAGCCCGTGAGGCATCTGTGCAGAGACCTAGCTGGACAGTGGTTACCAGCACCTAGAGGGGAGGGAGGGGGGCATTTAATTACACTGCTTTAGTTTTGCATGAGACTGGTTTGAAACTAAACATGCTTAACATATAGGCTCTGCCTTCCAGGTACAGTCTAAAAATGGGTAGGTAGTCAATTTTATGTTATGCATATAATACTAAGTAAAGTACTAATATATACTGACAACATATAACAAAGTGTTTGAAATATATATTTTATATGTACTATTTTGCATGTGTGCGTATATACATATCAAAAACCAATAACTATTTTTTGGAGAGAACCATCTGAGAAATTTTTTATGTTGGGAAAAATTTAACAAGAGCATGATTTTTTAAATTTTGCGTCTGTAGTTTGTATGTATGTGAAGATTTATGTGCATATGCAGGTGGGGTCAGAGGTCAGCCTCAGGTACCTCCTGTTTTTCCCACCTTGTTTGGTTGAGACAAATTCTCTCACTAAACCTACAGCTCACGGATGGCTAGAGAGGCTGGCCAGCAAGCTCTGGGGATCCACCTGACTCTGCCTCCGTTAGGGTTACAGGCACACAGTACTGTGCCCAGCTTTTATGTGGATGCTGAGGGTCTCACCTGAAGTGAGGTCCCCATCTGTGTGCAGGCACCGACACTGAGCCACCTCCCCAGCCAGAGTGAGTGTGGTTTACACATCATAAGAACAAAACATTGCCCTCTGACGTGAACATAGATGGCACTGAGAATGTCGTTTTGTTGGAGTTTTGTTTTTTCTTTTAGACAATTGGCATCTGACTTGTGATTTTTTTTATTGTCAATTGTTTGTTTCCAGAGGGTCTCCTCACAGTGCTCTCTCCCCAGTGTCCCTGCCCATTCTCCTAAGTGCTGATGGGAGCCACCACATGCAGCTATAAGGTTCAGTGTCTGTAGCTAAGTCTCAGTACTTTTCTTTTGGGTAGCTGTCTAAATGTTGTGAGTCATATGCCACAGCAGCTTCGTCACCGCTGTTTTTAAAGTAAAACACTTTTTCTTTTCATAGGATCTCAATTCCTATCTTGAAGATAAAGTCTACCTTGCAGGATATAACTTCACCTTGGCAGATATCCTACTGTACTACGGGCTCCATCCCTTTATAGTGAGTATTTAGGTGGTGGTTAGCTTTCTTCCCATAATATTCAGAATCACTTTTTTTTAATGTTGTGAATTTTTAATCAGATTTACATTTCAGCTTATCAGAAAACGTTATTTTTATTTATTTATTTATTTATTTATTTATTTATTTTGGTTTTTCGAGACAGGGTTTCTCTGTATTGTTTTCGAGGCTGTCGGTCCAGCCTGGCCTCGAACTCACAGAGATCCGCCTGCCTCTGCCTCCCGAGTGCTGGGATTAAAGGCGTGCGCCACCACCGCCCGGCGCAGAAAACGTTATTTTTAAACACGGCAACTGTAGGCCACATGGTCCGTTTGCAGAGCTGCGCCCTCTCTTCCACTCTTGACTGATGTATTTTCAGCTTCTGTTTCTGCTCTTCTTCTGCGGCTGCTGCCTCTGGTTCTGTCACCATCAACCCCACCACACACACACATACACACACACACACACACACCCCATCTTCTGTGCACCTTCCTACCCAACCAATCTTGGTTGCATGACGTAATTACCCTTGCTTACTTATTTTCCCCTGCCGTCAGATGTCCCCCTGTTCTGCCTGACTTCAGCCACATCTTATTGCCACCTTCAGCTTCTTTGCCATGCTCTATAGTTACCCCATGTTTTATGCGTACAAAGAGCTCTGCTTGAGAAATCACCTAAGCATAGCTTGCTAGCCTTAGAAAGTCTCTCACTCTGTTAGCAGCCAAGCTTATGTGGTGATCAGCCCTCCTTCCTTCTGCATATCTGTAGGTGTTTCTCCCTCTGACTCCCTTGCCACACCGCCTTAGCCTCTCACAGTCTTCCTGCTTGTTCACTGAGCTCTTTCGTCCTCAGCCCACCTGCTTATAAACCCCCAACCACCTTTTCTCCCATCCTGGCCTCACGCCTTAGCTCCCTTCCTTGCCAGCCCTTTCTGGGTCATCTCCCAAACTCTGTTTTCCTCTTTTTCTCTCATTCCTTCACATCTGTCCTCTAAGGACTTGGTTAATCTCTGCATTTTAAATCATGTGTCATCTAATTACAGATTCTCCCTGTTTTCCTTTCACTGTTCTTTGCTCTGTATAAGTGTCAGCTCATTACTCCTGCAGCATTCCTGTGAGGTGGGCCCTGTTAACTGAGACACAGCGCGGTCAGTCAGGTATTTTCTAACTAATGGGCAGACCCAAGTCCAGAACCCAGGCAGTTTGTCTTGAGTCCATGCCTTCTTAGATCTTTTTCTCTGCCTTAAAAAAAAAATCTTTCAAACTTCCCATACCCCCAACACCATAACATTTTCTATATTTTCCACTTGAAGTATCCAGTCAGGGCCTGATGTTTCTTTCCACTTGCTGGGTCCTCTCACCCCTGTCTCTTCCTGGGATCTGCAGTAACTTTTGCCTGAGTATCAGTCAGTATCAGTCAGTTTTGTTATCTCTGGTCCACTAGGCCAATCTTTCTTAAGACCAGGCTTTCTCTTCCTTAATAATTCAGTAACTCCTTAATCCCAACAAGTTCACATTGTCAGCAAGGAAGGGTTTTCTTCTGGCTTCTGCCACCTTTCTGGCTTTGGCCCTAACACCCTGAAGTAGAGATTTTCTTTTTTGTCTGGCATAATTCCTGGCACACCCCCATACAGTCAGGCTTCCATGATACCAAGTAAATGTGAACATCATTGTATTGTGTCCAAGGAGAAGGATACATACATACTTGTGTAGCTATATTTGCAAGGACCCAGGCAGATCTTTCTAAGTATCTTAGTGTATAGAGAAGAAGCCCTTTGTAAACTGTAAGCCACCAGAGTAAGAAGTGATTGAATTAGATTCTGCCCTCTTCAGTAGCAGATTCCACATTACCTGACTTAGCCAACCACAGAATAGAAATACAGAAAAAAAATCAGGGCACTGGACATGCACAGACCTCTGTTGTCTTCACCTCACTGCTACGGTGTACCATCTGCTTATCCCAGGAGATTGGCGTATTTGTGCCAACCTCCTACAGAAACTACCACCGCTTAAGCCATACTTCTCAGTTTGGATTTACTTTACTTTATTACCAAGTTGGATGTGGCAACACACACCTATAATCCTAGCACTTGGAAGACTGAGGCAGGAGGGTTGCCACAATTTCAGGGCTATCAAGAACTACATAGTGAGATACTGGACAAAGGAGGCTTTCTGAAGTACATTAGGTTCTGTAACAATGTAATGACCTAGTTGATTAGCTTAGCTTAGCTTTGCACTCCCTATTTTACACTTAAAATTATCAAGAGCATCCTGTGTTGCCCACTGTGCAGTATTTGAGAGGAACATAAAAGAAGCATAAGCCTTGATTTTTCAAGGAACTACTAATCTCATTAAAAAGATATTGTTTTATTTAAAAAATTAGAGAAAATGGGACCAAGTGTTGATTTCTAATCAGAATATAATTTGATCATTTAAAGAGTCGGGTAATGCTGGAAAAAGACACATGACAAATATGTACAAAATATGATTGTCCTTGGCTATCCAAAGAAATTGTCATTATACAAAGTTTCTAACAGGTAGAATGGCCATCTAATTTCTCATCAAAACGGAACACGTTTAGCTGTGAAAGGAAGCTTTTCATTATTCTGCTAGTACAGAGAAATGTAATAGGTGAATGGTCCCTAAATTTAGAAGGAATATGACTCATTTACACAAAGCCAGGAATGGTGAAGTTGGTGTCTTATTTCCTTGTCCCCTACTGACTCTCAGCATAGTGGCTTATCCACATGCAAGTTTGTGAGATTAGCAGTATTCAGTATTCTGTGTTCCTATTTTATGTTGTGCATCTACAAGTGATTTATGTACATGTGGAAAAAGCCTCATTGGAGCTGAAACATGAGTTCCTGCAGCCTCTTTTTATTCCGTTCTAGCTTCAGTGTGCCTTAGTAGCTTCTTAAACTTAGAATGATGACATGGCAGAACTTACCTCATTTCGAAATGAAAAAAGCCTCCAAGGTAAATAGGATTTGCTGCTAAGGGATCTAACCATCTCTCCTGGTGGCAAACATACAGTCTTTCAGCTTGGGGGAGCCCCTGACTTGACCTGAACAAGACCGTGTCTGATAGGGCAGTTACAGCTCAGCAGAGTTGAGCCATGGCACATATGTTGGTGTTATTTAATGTTTGAAAGCTTAATACTGGGAGAAATGTGCAGTGACTATCAGCAAGCCAGTGGTTATCTGCAGAGCTCTAAGGTCTGGCTTCCTGTAGCATGAAGGCATCATGAAGAAGGAGGATTTCTCCCATCTCATTCAAAACAAAGATGATGATAAAGTGTATGAAACTCATGCAAACTAAGAGTGTGTTTGCGTTTTCCTCTGCTGGGTTCCTGCAGCTCATGGGCAGGAACCTGTGCAACGTTGCCCTGCCCTAGCAGTGAAGATAATCATAATTTTACAGTACAAAATACTCCTAGCTCTAGCTGTAGTTACTTCACTCTGAGTCCGACATCTTGAAAGGCCTTAGGTTTTTCAGAAGACTTTCAACTGTTCCCTCAGTTCTAACTATTAAAATCAGGGTTATCCTAATCTTTAGCTATTTAAACCTACTTATATTTATTCTGGAATATATATATTTTATAGCTGTAGTGACTGTTGTGATTAAAGGTATTAGGGTTATCATTTTCAAAGCAACATTGAATAAAATAATTCCTAAATCTCTTTTGACCGTTGCTTCGGGTTTGTACGAATCAAGGTGTGTGCCCTTTCCAAGTCAGAGAACAGGCAAGGTATTCACTGGAAGAAAAACCTTAAGGAATAGGCCTTGTACACTAATACCCTCTGGAGGTAGGGTGACACCATGGTGTTAAGTGACATTTTGTTAATTGGGTCTGAGTACACACAGGTGTGAGAAAAGTGACTGATTGCCAGGTGTTAAGTTTGGCTTGGTCACCTGCTTGTACTCATCAGCTTTTCCAACATTGTTCATTTTAGCAGTCTACCGATACTTGCCCAGTCCTGCAGTCCCTCACTTAGTGCTTGGTGTTGTTAAATCCTTTCTCTGTAATCAACACAGTATATGAAACAGTCAAGGAACCTTTGGGTCATCAAATCATCCCCTTAGATTGTTTATGTTGGAAGCCCAGAGTTTCAGCTCTGGCTGAGAAGTTCTGAGATTGGGTGTCACTCAATGCATCTTGGCATGTTATATCATGCTTTGTCAGCAGAGCCTGTATTGTGGTTGATTCCAACTCTAGCACCAACTGCTGTCTTCAGTGATTCCACTAAGAGGTGGTCCCTTATAATCAGACTGTGTCTTGAGATTGGTAGAGTCCTTTGTGGTGCTGTGGCTGACCCAGAGGGTTGTTCTGAGCACCAGTGAAATATGGGTTCTTTGAGAAGAAGAGAGAGAAATCACTATGAAGCAATCCCAAGAATACCGACTGTACAGAGACAGCCTGGTGTCAATGGAAGGATAAAGCCAAGCTGCAAAGAGTTGGCTTGAATGTTCCCCATGTTTCTTAGGGGGAAATAAGTAAATCGGAATGTTTTCTGTTTGACTTTAAGGTTCAAAGTAATTACTGAGTTCCAGTATAAACAAAAATGAGTAAGTAGGAGAAAGAGCCCACACCACCAGAGACACACTGGTGCCTAGACCAGTGAGAAGCAGGAAGCAGCATTGCATTGTGTTCCCCCCTTTTTTTTTTTTAAAAAAAGGTAAAATAAAATAACCAGGTGAAAGTGGTAGAAAGCCAGTGTTATAAATGAAATAGCCAGGGATCACGTCAGAACCATTTTTTTTTAATACAGTGAGTTCAGTAAGGAGAAAAATTTCTTGCTTAGTTTGTTGACAGTAACTTTATGTGGAAAATGTTTTAATGTTTTTAAAAAGTAGCAGAGGTGACATGCCAAGTTCAATCATCATTTTCTCAGACTCACAAATTCCAAGGCCTAAGCAGTCGAAGAATGGTAAAGTATACTCTGATCCATTCAGGAAGCCTGTGTGTTTCTAGTGGAAGAGTGAGTTAGCTTACATCAACTGAGACTACTATGCAATAGATCACCTATCCAAGTAGGAGAAAGCTGGATTAAACTTGAAATATTAGGATAGTTAGAAGCTATTAGAATAAAAATGATTTTATACTTAGGTTGGATTATAGTCCTTATATTAGAGACTGCAAGTGTGGAGTTTGTAGGATAGAGTGCATATTTATGTTATCAATTGGTATTTTTTAAATAATTAGCTTGGTAGCAACATACTAGTTCTGTATGTTAGCAAATGTTTTACAATAGGAAATACACACATTCTTTTTCACCTGGTTCAAAATCTCGGTGCATAAGCTAAAGACACTCAGTGTTTGGAAATGTTTTACTCTGTATTTTAGTTCATTTTGAAAAATTACATCTCAAGAAATGGCTAAGTACAGTTTTGTTGTAATAAAATAGTTCTAAAATTCTAGGAAGGTTATCATTTATTCTTTCATTATCACTGAGGCAACTCAGTGGTAAGACACTTGCCTGACATGTCAAAGCCCTTAGCACCACCCAAACAACAAAAAAGGAACAAACAAAAACCCAATTTTCTCTTGAAGTTCTTGGTGAAATTTATATTGGTGACGTTAGAAAAAAAATGAATTCATTTACAAAGTATTTTCTGAGTACAAACTAAAGCCCACAAGTGATTACCTCCTATTTCTGTGTTATTTCAAATGTAAAAATCAGGAATATGTAAAACCATAAGTTCTCTGTAATAAAAATTAGCCTGTACACTAAAACAGACTTTCTTGGTCAGTCTTGACTAATACTTAGGGATCTTTTAAATTTCCATATGATGAGTTTATTCCTTTAATGTAGACAAATGGTGGTGATTACATCTTTGTGATAACTAGCCACAGTTACTCCTCTTGAAACAAGATCTGTGCATTTATAGTTTGTTACAGCAGCTTGTGTGCAGATGGTCTAAGTAAACTGAGCTGTCAAGTAAAATGTCAATTAAGAGACTGTTTACTCTTTTATTGTTAAGGTTGTTTTGTGTTTTTTGTTTGTTTGTTTTGGGGTTTTTTGTTGTTTTTTTTTGTTTTTGTTTTGTTTTTTTTTATGAGACAGGGTTTCTCTGTATTGTTTTCGAGGCTGTCCGTCCAGCCCAGCCTCGAACTCACAGAGATCCGCCTGCCTCTGCCTCCCGAGTGCTGGGATTAGAGGCGTGCGCCACCACCGCCCTGCTTGTTTTGTGTTTTTTAATAGTTATTATATTCTAGTTTGTCCTTCATTTTGCTAGGTCCTATGACTTGACAGGTAAATTTGTCTATAAACACACCTACATACAGCGTTGGGACATCTTCTCACTAAAGTGCCTCCAGACATGCAGACCTCTGTTTGGGTGTGGGCCTGTGGGGCCCAAGTTGTTTCTGTGTTTATTTTCTTTGTGTTATAAAGACTTATGTGTCCTTTATAAGTGTTAAGTTAACACAGGAGAAGAGGTTGTACCACCCACACATGGGTGCACGGCTGCCGTTACTGCTCTGTTTGGCTTCCTCTTACTGAACAACTTAATTCCAAAATTTGTCTTAGAGAAAAGTCTTGAGTTACCACCTACTTTGGAATTTGACCCCAAGGGAATGATAAACACCTCTGTCTTTGCATCCAAGATAGTAGGTGATGTGAGTCGCTGCTGTGTCCACTAAAACATAGGTCCTTACTGCCCACAGATAGAGACTGAATCAGTTCCTTTCTAAGTCATATGACACTAGACAGACAGACAGCCTTTTATTGTGTTAAACTGCAAGCACTTAAAATTAGCAGGTCACTTCCTTCAATGGGGCTTTCTCTCTGAAGTTGAGAGGGGAAGATAATATAGTCTCGCACTCACCTGTGTATGTGTGTGTGCCTACGCATGTCTGTCTGTTTGCTTGTCTGTAAATATATATTTATAATGTATGTATACATACTTTTTCCTTTTTATTAAATGATATTCTTGTTCTCTTGTTAAATGTGTTAGACATCAAAAACTCTTCATTTTGGGGTTTACTTAGAAATCAGGGAAAGAAATATATTAGCCTTTTGAAAGCTCCTCCCTCCCTCCCTCCCTCCCTCCCTCCCTCCCTCCCTCCCTCCCTCTCTCTCTCTCTCTCTCTCTCTCTCTCTCTCTCTCTCTCTGTCTCTCTGTCTCTGTCTCTCTGGGGAGGGGGTTTTGAGACAGGATTTCTCTGTCCTGGAACTCGCTCTGTAGACCAAGCTGGTCTAGAACTGGCCCAGAGATTTGCCTTCCTCTGCCTCCCGAGTGCTGGGATTAAGGCAATGTGCCACCACTGCCCGGCTCATTTTCTTTTTCTAATAAAGTAAAAACCGCTTTGGGCCTCTAAATTCTGTATTCATGTCAGTTTTTGTATTTATGGGAAGCTTGATGTTTTCCTGGAAAGCACATCTGGTTTTGAACTGAGCATAAAATATTAAATGTCACAACTGTTGCAGCTCTCACTTTTGTGTAAACATGTGGACTTTGAAAACTGGGGGATTGGGTGTTTTTCAGTTTCTGTCAGTTACTTCCTAGTGTTGACAGCTCTGCTTATGTACAGTGAATATTATATTTTGTGTTTTTAATCTCTACTTAGGTTGACCTGACAGTTCAAGAAAAGGAGAAATATCTTAATGTGTCTCGCTGGTTTTGTCACATTCAGCATTACCCAGACATCAGGCAACATCTGTCTAGTGTTGTCTTCATCAAGAACAGACTGTATGCTAACTCCCACTAGAAGTTCCTGCTGTGCAGCAGCAAGATTAGAAGTGTAAAATGTATTTTGGACCATGGTTCTAATGTAAATTAATATGATGTCATTGTTTCTTTGTTACTGTTGGTAGCATTTTTAACATGTAAACTCAAGTCTGAATGTTTTATTTGTCCCTTAGTTGAAGCTTTGCAAGTTTTTAATGTAGAAATGCAACTGTTATTCAAACAAATCACGATTGGATTACAAATTATCTCGCATTTATAGGTGAAATTTGTTTTAGTAAAAGTTACAAATCAGTGGCAAAATCTTTTAAAAAAAGTTACCCTGTCAGTGTTTCATATCTGGCTTTTTTTGTGATTTTAAAATTCATTTTCCTCCTAGATGTTCATAGTAGTTTATTAAAATCCATGATAAATTATGCTAAGGATTCAGAAAGGGAAGGTGGATATTTGTTCTCAAAATATTTATGTGAGCTAGTAAATGTGATTTTAAAAATCAACTTTGGTTTGTGTCTTTCTTTTCTTTAGTCAGTAGTTACTGAAGTGAAAATAATGAGCCATCTCTGAGAGGGAAGTAATTCATTCCTCAAGCTCCTTTCTCTTGTCAGGCATATTGAAAGACACAGTGACATAAGCTGGGTTTCACCATCCCATTGCTTGACAGAAAGCCATCCAGCACTCTCAGAGTGCACCTCGAAGAGCAGGGACACGAGGACACTGTTAACCACAGCTCTGTTCATGCTATAACTCTCACTACTGTAATAGTAACAGGTTATTGAGACTTACAGAGCTTGTCTGTCCAAGTAAGAGAAATAGAATCAGGCAAATCATGACCTCCCATGTTTGTAACCCGACCACAGGGTGGTTGAGTCAGAAAGGATTCAAGGCTAGCTTGGACACAGGGAAACTGACTTAAAGAGAACAGTGAAGGGCTAGGGTGTAACTCAGCAGTGAGTGCATACCTAGCAAGCACAAGTCCTGTGTTCACTCCCAGGGACAGAGAAGGGAGGGGAATCTTAGGTAGTATGTTTCCAAGTTCTGGGGAGGAGGTAAGAAATTGGTTGAGTCTTGTTATTCCTAAGCATATGATTTTAAGCAAAGCAAAAGCCCCACTTCCAAATATTGCTACAAAGGAAACCAGTCTTTGAACACTTGTGCTTTGGGGGACATCTTAGCTCCAGACTATCAGTGTTCAATAAAATAAACATACTTAATATTTCAAAGAACAAATGAAATGGTTGCATAGTTTAGCAATTATATTGCAAGGATTGTAGCTCAAAAAAGAAGTGTAGTGAGTCAGAATTAGACCACTCTCACCCTATATTAGTGATGAGACTGGTTAAGTCAATGGATCTGATGAAATTCCCCTTCTAAGTAGAGGTAAGGATCACTGATCTCGTTTCAACTTTGATGGTAATCATAGAAACTCCATGTCAGTCTTGTCCCCACTGCCATCTCTGAGATGCCAGCCTACTCAGCATGTGACTCCATCTGATATAAAACAGTAAGTGACAGTACATCATCTAACTGTGGAAAAAGCAAATTCACATTACCACCTATAAAATTCAGTCCTTGTTTCCTTGAAGATGTAAAAGATTTCACATTGTCATTTATCCTTGTTTCTGAGGCGTCCGTAAGATGTGTCTAAAGTGTGACCACTCAAATGTGTGCTGTTCCTTCTGAAAAGTGGGTACCTCTTTCCCACTAATTCGGTCTATAATGCCCCAAGACCTGCTTCATTACCAATCAGTGATTGCCCTGGCATGTGTTTAGCACTTGCTGTAGATAGGCTTCAAAACCTGAGGGTAACATACAACACATTCTTGCTCTTAGAGAATCTACACTCTCGCCACCTGTGAACAGGCTCCTGAGACGGGGCACACAAAGATTCTTTTGGGAGCTACCTGACCCCACCATTCTCTGGAAGTAAATACTAAGTATTGAAAATATCTGTCCACTGTGTTCTGGGCCCTGTACATCATGTTAACTCGTGATAACTTACAAAGCAAGGAGGGCCACATGATAAATAATACCTCAGACCATGGTGGAATGAATGAGCATCATATGACCTTTCAGGGTGGTGACAGCCTGTCCACATTGTTCACTGATGCTCTTGCCCTGATAAGTTTACATGTCTATACTACATATAGATTTCAGACACAGAAAAGAACTCACAAGTAGGAGAGCATTGTTCTTCAGTCAAGAGTCTATGTGTTCATTCATTTATTAGAATAAATACTAGGTTAAAATAAGAAAAAAAGCAGTATCAAAAAAGGCCACTTGTTCATAGTTACATGAAGTTCATGTATTTTGAGTCAATTTCCCAGCCGAACATTTCCTCCAGTAAATGGATTATTTCAGTAAGGTTTTTACAGACATAGTTGTCCCCCACCATCTGTCTGTCGACAGATAAATGATATAAGAAACTCCAGCTTAGCTGAGTGTTGGTGGCACACACTTTTAATCCCAGCACTTGGGAGGCAGAGGCAGGCGGATCTCTGAGTTTGAGGCCAGCCTGGTCTACAGAGCGAGTGACAGGTTAGGCTCCAAAGCTACACAGAGAAACCCTGTCTCAAAAAACCAAAAAGAAAAAATAAAAAAAAGAAACCCCAGCTGATGACTGAAGCTATAGCAAAACTCTATGTATACTATGCTTTTTCCTGTATTTGCATGTATTTGATGAAAATTATACATTAGGTACAGTAAAAAACAAAGGGTAGAGTAACATTAAACAATAATTTCTGCCACAACCGTTAACCTGGCAACCAGGATAGTTATTAAGTAACTAATGGGTGACCAGAATATACACTGGACAAAGGTGATATAGTATTAGGGCAGAATTTCATCATGCTGCTCCGAAGTAGTCACGATGTAACATGAATCATTTATTTTATGGAATTTCCGCGTAATATTTTTGGTCTACACTAGTAGTAGGTAGCTAAAACCATGGTGAAATCTTTCATGAAACGGGACTGCTGTATATGGTAATTTTCATGTTTTACTTCCTGTTAAACATTCGTTTCAACTCTTTATATTTGTAGGTAGGGTCAGAAACAAACACCTTACGTAGGTTTCCTACAAGGAGGTGACAGCAGAATGGGTAGAAAGGATCGCCCACTGCTGGCACATCGTGTTCACTGCCCCTTAAATCTCTAATTTATGAGATCCTTGCTTTAAGTCTGTCCAGAATAGCTTCAAGATATGATGATAAAAATTTAAACAGATCTATGATTAGGAAAGTATAGATCTGCCCTGTAATCAGCTACACATACATCACTCGAAATGATAAAATACACAACTGTTTGACAAGTAGTCAAATTAGAATCACTGTGAACTGTAGCCTTTTCAGTTATATTTTTTCCTTAACATTTGACTTCATTCCTTTAAAAAAAAAAGACAAATGTAACATGAACTTTAATATTAATCTAGCTTTGGCAGAGATGTGGTGATTTAATGGATTAGAGCATTTAGCTTTTTTACCCTAGAGAGCAATATTTCTTCTTTCTCTCCATAATTAGATAATCCACTACTACCTATTACCAAAGGCACTAAATTTGAAATTCTCTGAACACCTGAACAGGCTGCTACATATCTGGCCATCTTAATTTTAGTCTTGATTTATGGATGCTGAATTACATTCCTAACCCTTCCTGGAGCTCTGGGTGAATTTTATTGCAAAAGCAATGGAGAGAAAAGTTAGCATCATATATCTCTCTTGCTGGGCAGACTTTTAGACACACAAGGGGCTCCACATCCCGCTGTTCCATGTCTTGTATGGTGGATTTATAACACTGTGAAGCCCAGCTCTAGGGTTACACACAAGCATATCACAGATGAGATGGAGAATTTGATTTTGCAATAATGATTACTTGTTGCGGAGCCCAGATTCCTGCAGGCTCTGCTTCTATTCCCCAAACTGCCTGTGAATAAAGCTAATTCCTACTGCTTCCCAATTTAGTAAAACTCATCTTTCACTGAGCAGAGGGAGGCCAAAAGAAGGTAGGTGGAAAGTCAGGAGAACCTAAGAGATTGACCATTTTTGCCGTTATGTCTCAAGTATCTCTACTTCCATGATCATACTTCCAATTTTTAAGATTTTTGCTTCCTTGTGAGGGAATAGAAGCTCTGAATCTTTCCAGCTCAGTGACTTAATTTGATAGTTCCTCCGTGCCGTTGCTTCTACTTCCACAAGGCCAGGTCCCTAGGGCTTGCCGGTTGGATTATAGATCCTGCAGATTTGGCTTGCCGTTCCTGCTGAGTATCATCTGTCCCTGCAGCCATGCCATGGACAAAATGTATTCTCCCTCATCATCTGCTTGAGAAATCTGTGCCTGGCAGGCCTGTCTGTCTGCGTTAAATCTGAACTACAGTAGCCATACAACTAATTTGACAAGGCATAGCTTTAAATAAGAAGGCCCCAGGCTTGCTTTGACCAAGACGAGAAACTTCCAACCCCCAGATTACAAATTCCAAAGCTCCTTTGGTGCGGTCTCTGAACTGGACCATTCCTGTGATATACGCTATCTGCACTGCCTCCTGCGTCTTTCCCTTCTGCAGCACTTACCTGTCATGTCTTAAAGGTCCTTAGAGACTTTTAAGTTGCCAACTAGCCTTCCCAATACCATTTTCAGCACTGGATCTCTGTACAACTCAGTATAGCAGTGTCCCTTATCCACAGAGGACACATTCCACAGAGGTTTCCTGGAACCTTAGGTAGTACCTCAGTTATCTTTCCATTCCAGATAACAAAATCCCTAGGATCATTAACTCAGAAGATAGTTCACTGTGCTTCGTGACTTTGGGAGTTCCAGTCCATGGTTCGGTGGGCCCTTTGCCTTAGCACCTGAGGCGAGGCAGCATATCAAGGCTGGGAGATTGTGAGTCAAGCTGCTCACTCAGCTGATGGCCAGAGGGGTGTGAGGTGTGGTGGTGAAGAGGAGAAGAAAGGAGAGGGTGGCATCCCAAAACTTCCTTCAAGGATATGCCACCAATAGCCTAATGACCCTCTCTAAGGCCCCTTCTTTTAAAGACTCCACACCTCTAGTAGCAGCGAGCTGAGGTCCAAGTCCTTATTGACACACAGGCGTTTGAAGAACATTCCAAAACCCCAACTATAGCAGTATCGTGTAAAGTAGGGTTTTTTTATACATATACATACCTTTAATAAAATTCAAATTATAAGTTAGAGATTTTCCTGTTGCTGTGATAAAATGTCATGACCTAGACTTTATTTTGGTTTGTGGTTTCAGAGTCTTCATGGTGGGAAAGGCATGGCGTGAAAGCAGGATCAGGAAGCTGACTGATCACATTTTATATGCATGCAGGAAGCAGAAAGAACAGGAAGTGGGGTGAGTCTATAAACACACACACACACACACACATACTTTGTGCCAATGCTTAACTAAATCGGTGACATACTTCTCCATCAAGGCTATAGTTTCTATAGATTATATAACCTCAAATAACATCAACTGGGAACAGATGTTCAAATATATGAGCC